GAGGCGGATAGTATGTTTTCTCGAATCCGCCATTCGTCTCTTTGACAAATTTTCAATATGTCTACATAAAATGCGTGCATCCATTATTTCGGGAAAAATAGTATAATGTTTGTTTTTATCCCTTGTTCGATCCTTTAACATAGAGTTAGGGTGAACGGTTCGATTGTTCGTTATCATAGACCGCATGATGGGAATACCTTGCGTTTGTGAATCTCCACACCATACCTAATGCCTTGGAAGTATAGCTGGGCGATTAGTTTGAACTAAACAAGTACTCGAACTAACTCTAGTCGCAGGCTATGGTGAAATCTATAGCCAATTAAGAGCAGGTTACTGTATTGTGTGTTAAATGCCAATAGCAAGTCATCGCTGCCTCCAAAGTGGCACGATGAGGTGCGTGCTTTGGATACCGAAAAGACATCGCAAAAATTTCTAGTCTATCACAATTGATAGTCAGCCTTAACGATTATTTGCATATTTGGCATGAGAAATACTCGCATAATAGATTGTATTTGTCGACATTATTCGACAGCATTCCCAAAATATGATTTCAGTGTCGACAACCTTATTATTGGAGGAGGCGTAATTGGACTCGCTATTGCCGAAAGGCTATCTCGAAACCGTCATCGTTCCACTCTATTGGTAGAGAAAAAAGTTGACGTAGGAGAGGAAACGAGGTACGTCACCAAATTAATCGTAAATATATAAATCTGATTCCAAACTAATATCTTGCTTCCTGATAAGCTCTCGTAATAGTGAAGTGATTCACGCTGGAATATACTTTCCAGAAAATTTTTTGAAAACTAGTCTTTGCATACGAGGAAAGAACCTTCTCTATGAACTTTGTCAGTCGACTCTGGTTATCCCATTTCGTCGAGTTGGAAAATGGATAGTATCAAGGAACAATGATGAATCAGAGTACTTGGAATCACTCAAAAGGACTGCTGATAAATTGGGCGTGGATACATACTTCGTCTCACGGAGCGAAAGAGAAAGGCAAGAACCTGATGTTAACGCGCATGAAGCGTTATGCTCACCCACTACAGGAATCATCGACTCGCACGCATTGATGAGATATCTTTCCACAAAGATCAAAGAAAATGGTGGTGATATAGCGCTCCAAGCGAAAGTCGTTCGTATTACAAAGAATGAGGGTGGGGGTTATCTCGTCAGCGTATCATCGCCAGATACACAGACTGTAATTAAATCAGAAAAGGTTATCAATGCAGCTGGCTTGTATGCTGACAAGATTGCAAACATGATCTTACCCGGAAATGTATATAAACTATATTATGCTAAAGGGCATTATTATTCCTATAGTGGACTAAGTGATGTCAAAGTAAATCGTTTAATTTACCCCGTACCAGAACGTCATATGGCAGGGGCAGGGACTCACTTGACGCTAGATCTATCTGGCGCAATACGATTTGGCCCGGACGTTTTGTACGTGGACACACCCGATAATTATGATATCATAGATGATAATGGGGAGAGAACCGAACAGATTTGGAAAGCAGTTACGTCCTATTTGCCCAAAATCAAAAAAGAAAAGTTGTATCCGGGTTACACTGGCATCAGACCAAAATTGCAAGGACCAGATGAACAATTCCGCGACTTTGTTATCAAAGAAGAGAGTGATCACGGATTAAGCGGATTTGTCAATCTCGTTGGAATCGAGAGCCCTGGCTTAACGGCATCATTAGCCATAGCAGAGATGGTAGAAGGAATATTGGATAATCACTGAACGTGATAGAGGATTACCAAATGAAAAGCTAGTGGCTATGCAAAAAATGAGTATCTATAAATCAAGGAATGTAGTTGCGAGCAGTGTAAATGCCAGCAGTTGGAATTACAGACGACGACTGGTATCTAATGTTCATTGAACTAGTCGATAAGAGTTTCGACTTTATTTATATGAGTGTCTATAGTAATAGTAATAGGAGGAAACCAAATTCAATAAGCTTTCTTTATGTGTACTAAAATTGGTATTTTGAGGCTTTCTCCAATTCAATCCCAAACGTTTACGATGGCACGAATCAGTCATATGGGCAGATTTTACTGCTAGCGCAAGTTCTTGAACGTGCCAATATGTGCACGGCGTGATTCTGTCTAATACTAAGGAAGCCGAAACTGAAACCCATTGAATATGTACACATTTGTTATCGAGATACACCATGAATTCTACTTTTTTTACAATTGAACGTCTTTCGACAGCTTGCATTACATTGTCTCGAGGTCTTGGGTCTTGTATAATGGGACGGGAATGAGTATTTATTCGTGCGTCAGGTGAATGCTCCGGAGGACATGTCTAATCTTTTTATTATTAGTTACATCAGAAAGAATGTGCCGTCCCAAAATATTTCACCACACAAAAGCCAATTACAATTCCTTCCAAATCATGAAACTACGTGTCTTGAACTGAGCACAATAATTGATAACTACACGTGAAAAATTGTTTAAATAATGACATTACTGACGCGAATTTGCATGTATTACAATATACGAGCCGAAGGATTTCTTCAGGAATGTGCACTTCTCATATTGTGACGCCTGCCACACAAGTAACCCGTCTTATGATCACAAAATCCTCGTCACTTGCCTACAAAGATGCCTTTACTCAGAGGACTTTGGATTCGAACTATCACTAAGCCTTTTCCTAGATGGTTCTGCAGTTCCACCTGCTTGACGAGCGAATATACTAAGCACATCCGTCAGGCTAACCACACCAATTGCATTTGTCGTCTCATTTACTACCCAGACACGATGAGCACGCGTCGCCATTAATTTGGCAACAACGTGGCCTAGCGTGCTTGACAGACGGACATCAAAAACAGGATATCGATCCTAGGCATTTTGTAAAAAGGGTAGCAGCTTAGCAACGATGTTATCGAACGGATAATAATAAGAGCAAGAACCATAACCAGCATGTCTAGCAAGTACCTGTCCATCATCTATCCCTTGCCTGCTTCTCACATGGCTAATGAATTGTTGACATGTCCGCCACAGAAGTGAATGACGATAACTGCCAAGTATGTACTATGACATAACGATACGGAAATTAAAGACTCAACATCAAATAGGATTACATAAGGACCAACATTTAAACTACTAACTTTAATATCAGACATGCTGATATTCCCACAGAGCACACCACCACTATTGACTACAGCCGTGGAACTCAACGAGTTTTCCCCTTTGATAATCAAATTATATGTCAAGTGAGTGTGTTGTTTATTCAATGTGGCCGATGAGAATATTAAAAGTTACTTACTCATTATTTTCAGTGCGTCGAGCACAAATGAATCCGAATTCACTGAAATTACGTCACTTTTGCCTATGCCGAGCTCCTCAATCTGCATGCGACCGTCAAAGTTGAGTACATCAATACATAAAGATATTTTTGTACAAAATTTTCAATAACTATATAACTGTACATACAGTCTTAGTGAGTACTTTCTCAATCTCTGGAAATTGACGCGCCTAAAATGTTTATTGACAGAAAATAAGTACAAAACTTGTGCCAGTTACAAATAATATAACCTACTCGCAATACATGCTCGGGTACTTACGTTATCGTATAGATATGACACAACGTTCGATTGAGTGAGTATCCCTTTCAAATGGTTATTGGCATCCATAACAGCCACTACAGGATTTAGTTCGTAGTCGAAACAAGTGAGGAGTATGTGGAAACAATAATAATAACGCATTAAAGCAGAGCCAGAGTGCTGATGAATTGGTTAATTAATACCTCGATGGGTTCCGCTTCCAAAGAGTTCTGTTACCTGAAACAGAGAAGTTTCGGGAAGCACAGAATAAAATGGATTCTTGTTCGATATATCTATTCGTTCAATCAATCGATAAAAGAGTTTCAAAACTCAAAGTTAAACGGGTACGCATCCCTATGTCCAATTACAATTTTAGCAGCAGCATTTACGACAATAACGTTCAAGACCACAAATTTTCTTCACCTGAAGCTAGTTTAACTGGAATAGGCTGACACTGTAAAGCTAATCTCAAGAGCTTTCTGAATTCATCACTCAATTCTTCCTTGCTTTTTTTTTCCAATTCGAAAGCATCCTTCTTCTTTAAGACAATCAGCAAGTATGTCATAACGTCTGCCCAATCGAACATTCCTACATACGATTTTGTGGACGAATCGTACACTGGAGCTGACGAAAGATTGTTTTTTATCAAGATCTAAGTAATGGATAGCGAAACACGAGGTTTGAAGAAAGGCCAAAAACCTTAACAAAGCTGATATGAAAACAAAACTATAGAATCAAGCTTTCATCTGTACTTACTTCGCAGGACTCCTCTATAGGAGTATCTCCGTCGCTAATGATATAATATATAAGTCAAGTACACTTCGTGATCTGATATTAGCTTGGGAAATTCAAAAACAACATACATGACAATAACATCCTGATTAGCAACGAGGTCTACAGCTTTCACCAGAGTCCAATCATGAGATTCTGTAGTAACGCCTTCTCGGTGAGCGGAAGGTAAGCCTGTTATCGGATCCATAGTTGAGACAAAATAATGTAACGATAATAGCAAACAACTATGGAAACTATTCAATTCGCCGCGTCATTTGTGCGCCGATTGTTAACACAATATAAGTCATATGATATGAACGATGACAATTTCGTGAAACAAACACAAAAAAAAAGTCCCGGCTGTGAGAGAAATAACCGTGAATTAAGAGCGATAAGGTTGCATATTCCTAGGCCAATTAATAATTCGAAAGACAAAGAAGACATATCTTTATCACGCGTCTTTGTGAAAACAATCATGTAGATGCCGTAACAATAGTCTACGATTTACTTTCTGGCTAACCGTAACTCCTACGTTTACGCTTTACGCAAATAATCATTGTTCTGACGAAGATGAAGTTATTTGTTTAAATGTTTATATTAATATGCATACACAGCTCATTTAAAATTCTACTTAATTATAGTAATATGTGGTGTGAATTAGCAAAGTAATACGTAACTAATGGTTTTGATATAACGCATGGACTAGATTCAATTGCATTTAAATATGACATTAAGAAATGTAGATGTCTCCATGGTGGGTAATAATTTAAACTTTAGAAGAATAGCAGAGTTATCTCAGCGAGTGCATCAAAAATGAACAGATAGATATCACGTTGATGGCGGGGATCCGATTAGGATCTTTGTACAACATGAAACGTTTTTTGTAAAGTTGTCCGGCTCGAGATCTAATTGTTAACATGGCCACACCTATGGATGTTGACAAACAAAAAAAAAGCAGCGACTCTTCGGGTATACAGACTAAACCCAGAATACATTTTGGTAGTCTGGAAGAAACGGAAAGACAAAGGACGAAAAGTCTAAACGCTGAAGTGAGAATGATTTTGCTGTTTGATCTGTTTGCAGCCAGACCGATTTTGACAGAAAAATTGTTTGCTGTTGTAGGAGTCTAGTGGAGTCTCGTTTGAAGATCTGAGTAAGCGTTTAGATTGTTGCATGAGATTTGTAGAATATCATAGTATTTAGTTTGGTTCTTGTTTAAAATCAATAAAAGCTGAAAATACAGAATACGAGCTCCCCGAATCATTAAGGAAAGTCCGAGATGATCATCAAGCCATTCTGGATGAATTTGAACGTAAAAAACGTGCAAGGACCTTGGCTGTGCCAACTGATGATGGTCGTGTACGAGCTCGATTGAAGGAACTTGGTGAACCACAGTGTCTATTTGGTGAAGGGGTACGTTTTAGATTTGACCGATACGCTAAGTCGTTTTGTCCACTTTCTGGTTCGATGTCTTCAAATTGTTTTCTAACATATTTTGCGATGTTTCTCTCGATCAGCCGGGTGATAGAAGGGATCGTCTCAGGTACTTACTTTCTAAGATGGAAGGAACGGAAGTAATTCAAGACGATGAAAGCAGTCTATCGGAATCGGAGGAGGAGGTTTGTATACGTTTCTCTTCTCCACTGAAAGACGAGCATAGCCGTCGGTTCAACGTTATTGACGATTTTTTAGACTCAGTTGTACGTCTTTGATTCAAGAAAGAGGAAGAATTCTATACACTTGGAACGCAGGAGTTGTTAGAAGCTCGTCGATGGATTGCTAGATATTCACTCCCTAGGTATTATGGTTTGCAACTAAATGGGCGATTTGCGTGTACGGAAAGTTCGCTGATTGGGTGCGTTTTTGTATCACAGAGCACGCGATAGGTTGAAATATCAGAGAATTGATTATGAAGTGCCATTGCCGCAATTAAAGTCGGTTCGTAAGGAGTTGTTTGAAGGACTCAAGGCAAGTTTAATTGAAATATCAACTTTTTGATTATTGTTGAATATCTACAATATTAACTTCACTTGATTAATATATAGTCTTACGCAAATTTCAGTTCTCAGATCGGTGATGATCGACCGACTTCACAATGTGTCTTCTCGCCCAATAACCAAATTGTAGCAACTGGGTCATGGTCCGGACTATGTCGATTGTGGAAAGTCCCTAGTTGTGAGGCGATTATCAGTTTTCGGGGTGCGTATAAGAATCTTCGTATTGTATTCACGATACGATCAGCCTTTGGCCGCAATGAGTTTTATTGTAAGCGCATTGCGCTTATCAACTACGGTCTTACTATTTCATATAGGCCATACTGACAGAGTAGGAGGAATTGCATGGAATCCAGAGAGTACGCTCTCTCTGAGTTCAAGCGTTGTGAATTTGGCATCTGGTGGTGCTGATAGCTTTATCTATCTTTGGAGTTTGGATAAAGATACGCCGATTGGCGCTCTACAAGGGCATATTGCTAGAATCGCAAAAATTGATTTTCATCCAAGTGGAAGATTTATTGCTTCTGCTAGGTAAGTGTGGGAGAAAACTAAATTATTATAGAAATCGTTGGGAAAGTGACTATTCGTTGACCTTTTCTTAGTTTTGATGCCACATGGCGATTATGGGATGTCGAAACAACAGCTGAGCTGCTACTTCAAGAGGGACATTCGAGAGAAGTATATGCGATAAAGTTTCAAAATGATGGGGCTTTGGTTGCCACTGGGTTTGTATATTTTGTGGATAAGTGTGCAATTTTACTCTTCAATAGGGTCTCTTTGACGATTGGTATATTATAGGGGTCTGGATGCAATAGGACGCGTATGGGATCTTCGTACAGGGAGATCAGCAATGGTACTGGAAGGGCATGTAAAAGATATTCTAGGGGTTGATTTCTCACCAAATGGGTATGTTTCGGTTATTATCAACCAAGAGTTGCAATTGGCTCTATACTAATTCATTATGATGTGTACTTCCTCGTCAAATTTGGTACATCGTCGGCTCTATGTAATGTGCTCATCTAACAGCTATCAAGTAGCAACAGGAAGTGCTGACAATTCGGTCAGAATATGGGATATCCGCACTCTACGATGTGTATACGTTATTCCTGCTCACAAATCTCTTTGCTCCGATGTTAAGTTTTTCCATGCATCTTCTCTTTCCCAATCTCTTCCATCATCGAATAATAATGGAGTAAGGCCTTCATTATCGGGATTGTATTTGGTTACTGGCGGATACGATGGCTTGGTCAATATCTGGTCAGCTGATGATTGGCAGTTGTTAAAGAGTTTGGCTGGACATGATGGAAAAGTTATGGCAGTCGATATTTCTGGAGGTAATGAAAATTGATTATTGTGCGATTTTAGATGATGTTCGGATGAAGATTAAGACAGTGCTAAGAGGTTAATTTTTATTCACAGATAATAAGTTCATCGTCTCATCTGGATTCGACCGTACGTTTAAGTTGTGGGCTAATGAAAATATTCCCATCTAATAGTTACTGACACAACAAAATTATGTACAGTGTATTCTGTATGGTCATACCTTCGAATAAAATTTATAAAGTCATAGACGTTTTAATCACCGTATTTATTTTTGAGTCAGTGTGGTGCTATTATCCGAAGTTTGAGACTGATATCTTTCAGGTCGGGTTGATGCTTAAAATATATCTCATTTCATTCACGTGCTCTACAGTATTTCAACCTCCCTTTTCATTCGCAATATCAAACGCGTTTACTTTTCGAAGTGTTTGTTGTAACGTTTCGATGAGTGTTAGACGAATGACTTTTTCATGCAAATAACGCGTTCTAAGATAACGAATCGGTGTCGCGTTTTGTCATCGGAACTGAAAATTAAGCGACGATTCAAGTATTGCGCAAGAAATAATGTTGTACTTGTCTGTGACTCATTCATTCCTGCATATCTTACGATTAATTAAATTTGCAAGCAAAAGATTCTAACGCGTACACTATAAAGAAAAGTTGGAAGTGATGGCTAATCTTGGTTGTGTTAGCTCCGCTAATACATATTTCTCCCGGACTTCGCCTATTCGCTTCTATATTTATATTTATAGGTCTGAAACGCTATATACTTATAACACATAATAAATGGAGGATTATGATTGGTGTGGACTTGCCGGATGTCACAAGTTGGTGCTGGAGAAATTGGAAAGAACGAGTTGACTTCGCATGTAATGGTTTAAAGTGAATAACCTCTTACCTCAAAATATTTCGAAACCAGCAATTTGCTTACAATTTCCAGATGGTAGTCCACAATAGAAATAACTCTTGTAACTAGTTGATACGAAAAATAACCACATAGTAATAGTAATGGAGAGACATTGACAAACATCGTTTACAGGAAATGATTGTGGACGTGTAATGTAATATAATTAAAAAATCGAGCGTGCTAGGCATGTTGGACGAGCACGCAACGAAAATTTGTAGAGCATTATTATCATCCTTGTGCTCTTATCTGGGATGTACGTCAGAGACGAAGCTATAATTACTTCTGAGAATTACTTATTTTACTTAAAAATAAGGGAGCATTTTATCGAACCACAAGAGGGTTTCAGCATAGACTCGATGTAAGTAATGGGATTCTCTGGTCATCAATTAATCAATAACTAATCTATAGACGACATATCTGGTGTTAATATGAGAATGTGAATATACAGAGGAGACATATATTGTTCGAATAGTTCGATCCATGTGTCGGAAGTTTGTTTTAGGTTAGAGCGAACAGTAAGATCTGATAGACATTTGGTTGATTATATGGTAGTTGACCAAATGTATTACATTCTTTTCTCGAGTGAATAACTTGATCTGCTGTTAACGATTACACATTATCGCTGTCGGCAACTTCCTCGTTCTCATAAACACACTCATTATCGATAATTATGGTAATATCCAAGCTTCTCAAAATTTTGGATGTGTTAATATTAACGCGATTGCAAAGATAATTGGACAAAACCTTCATGTAGATGAGATAGAATGATTGTTTGCAAGTATGTTTTTTATTTCTCATCTCAAGTGAATTTGTTAGCTCTCTTGATTCCAACTCTAGTTACACTATTCCAAAAATAAGTTCAAGAAACTAAAAAAAGTAAATAAAATAAAAGAATATGTACATACATAAATAGTGGTTTGCTGGTGACAACGCGTGCCCACAGTAAACGGACGATTATAGATTGGTGACAATACAAACATGTAAAGAAATAAAAAGGGTGTCGGGTATGAAAGGGATGTCAGATAGTAGTCGCGAATTTGTGAAAGAAGGTGTATCTATTGTAATTAATATAATGGCTCCTCTAACGACCAATTTATGGTATTCGGATGTATTCCTATCAATTGATTGGGAAGAAAGTTAGCCAACAAGTATTGAAATCATATAAAAACGGGCGACATATAAAATCTGGTACGTACTTTAAATCGAAATTTAGGATCTTCTTTAGCAAAAGGGTGTTTTGAGAGTTCGGCGGCTGTAGGTCGCAGTTCTGGTTCTCTGTATCAACAAGCAGAAAGGCAGGAAAGTTGGCGTTAATGACATGCTACATAAAATAAAGCGATGACATAAACGACTAAAACACTAACATTGTAAAGCATTTATTCAGCATGTCTCGTGCTTCCGCTGACATTTGAATGTCATCTCTTATAGGCGGCGCTTTTTTCTCTGTTCCAAGTTGATACATGGCAGCAACGTCGGTATACTTCTCCCAAGGACGCTTTCCGGTAAACATCTCGAGTTCCACGCAGCCAAGACCCCTACGGAAATGGTGAAGTGTTAATAATATTACCGAGAAAAGTGAAAATCTTTGAAAGAAAAAGATCAGATTTACTATAAACAGTAATATGTCGAGCCTCACCAAATGTCGACTTTTGCATTGTAACCATTTGTAAACACCTCCGGTGCCATCCAGAAGATCGTTCCTTGAAGGGACATGTTTGAAATGTTGTCATAGGCGAATGCATGATCTGATAAAATTCCAAGTATTAATGATCAATTGACTTGGAAAGCATGCTTCCATCACTGTATCATGATACATACCACTTTTCTTTGAAATACCAAAATCGGATATTTTACAGCAACCCTCTTCGTCTACAAGAATGTTATCCGCTTTGATATCCTGCAACAAAGGAAAAGTTATTGAATTTTTCTGCTCTAACATTGTGACGGCTACGGCCGGTGAATATTTCTCCCACGTTACGATTGGACTTACCCGATGAAGAATTCCTTTCCCATGCAAATATTCCAAACCCAGCAAGATTTGCCGTGTAAATGATTTAACTACTGGTTCCACAAATCGACCATGAATTCGCAGACATGTACCAATCGAGCCACCATTGACATATTCGAGGAAAATATTAACTGTATCCCCACATTCATCGTAGCCAAGATATTGTACTATATGCTCATGATCAAGAACTTTCAGAAGCTCAATTTCAGCATAGAAAGATTTCACCTGTTTATAGTACAACCATATGTAAACAGTCAATTGTTGTTGAAACGATCATAATGTTAGGTATAGAAAAGAGAATGTGTTTACTAACCAAGTTGATCTGTCTCTCACTCAGCCGATCCGCTTTTGTCTTTGGTAATTCAATTTGCTTAACGGCGATCATCTCGGATGTTGAAACATTAAGTGCCAAGTAGACTTTCCCAAATGTTCCTTTTCCAATAAGTTCACCTTTGATCCAAGATATTTTGTTTGCTGTAAACCGAATTAAAAAGTACGATAAATAAGTAAAAAGTGATTCCATGTGCCACATTATTACGATAGTAATAATAAATGCGATCGCCTACATTTTTTACACTCGTTATGACCAGTTTCAGTCAATGCTGCATCGGGCGTACTCTCTAAAGGACTCGTAACCGGACTGCTTTGACCATTACTCCCAGGCCGCATTTCCACAACCCTCTTATCCCAGAATTTCGTGGCTTTTCTCTTCAACTTCGTAGCAGCCCTAATAGCACTTGTAGTCTGCTGCCAGTTCTTTCTAGCATCTCGCTCTTTCTTTTCTTTCTTTTCGCGGTCTTTCGCCTCTTGTGCAACAGATCGAATAGATTTGTAACGTTGCAAAGGAGCACCTCGTTTTTCCGTCTTGGTAGTCGGTGATACGGGAGGCGTTGGGGTCTCCCCACGGTGATTAACGTAGGTCACCAAACTACCGTTTCCTTCAGTGATAGGTTTATCAAGATCGTGTCCCGGGAAATACTTGTCCAGATCATGGTACACATCCTCGGCACTAGGACGTGTCACCCAGGTTACCTTAACACCTCTGCGGAGGGAAATAGTGCGTTGGAGTTTAGAAGCTTCTTTGGGAGGTTCAGAGTCATATGATGCATCAGAGTATCTTTTGCGACGAGGGCCATTCGTTGCATAGGAAGAATCTTGTGAGTCATATTCTGAAGACCTGGAATCAGTTAATGTTTGGGGTGACAGATCACTTTGTATACTTTCTGGAACGCAAGTGTCGCCTGTCAAATTGTTGCTTGAGCTGTCATTAGCAGTTTCTGGTTGAGCATTGTTATTGTTCTTGCCGGGTATGGGTGGTTGGACCCATAAGTCATCATCATTGTTGTCATCTGTATTATCGCTCGTTTGTGTTGGTATATCTAATTTAGGCCATAATCGTTTCTCAGGCGTCTCATAACCCAAATCATCCTCCGCAGTGAAAATCGATTTCTCAGTTTCCAGTGTTCCAGCCTGATCTTCAAAATCGGGTTCACTGTGGAAGCTAGCTCGACGACCGTCTTCGGCATATGGACTAAAAATACCGTATTCCTGTGTGCGAGGCCCCTCATTTTTTCTCCCACTTAATATAGATTCAGATATACATGATATACAAAAGTCGTCCTGTGTACCATCCCGAGTGCTGATGGGAAATGTCCTTGACTTTTGTTTTCGACGCTGCAGATCTGTATCTGATACATTTACGTGAAACGGTTGATAGACTTCTATTGAATCATAGGGTTTATTAGCAACAGATGACTGTGATGGTAAGCTGATATCTGATTTGTTGATCTTAGTACGATATTTGAGTGTACCTGGATAAACTGATTGTTGTGATTGAAGTAACTTGTCCGACGATGATGATTTATGAGCTGTCTCATAACTATTTGGCTTGGTAGATATAAATCCACCGGGCCTTAAGCTATTCGGAATAGGTGACGAAGTATTGAAAGATTTCGCCGGCCTCGGTACTCTATTCATACCGTTGCGACCATTAATTAAAGACTCCCGTTTAGAATATGACGCCATTTCTTGTTCGTAAAACTCCTCATGATTAGGGAAATTCGTAAACGACGTTGACCCTGATAAACTAGATATGGTTGGTGTTCTCAGATCAGCTAGAGTTCTACGTTGCTCATGTTGTGACATTGGTAAAGTCGTAACCTTAACCGAAATGTGTCTGACAAATAATTTTAGCGTCCCCTTCGTATCCGCATTCCGACATCGTTCTATCAACTCTTCATCCTTAAGACTTTCGCCAAGTTTTTCTAAATCAATTTCGGTTGCATAGAAAACATAGTAATCACGGTCACTCATAACACCCAGTGCGGTTAATACTTTGTCCTTGATTCTGTTAACATCTTCTGGGTCAATATTAACAACGCGGAAGTTTAAATTATCCAAAGTTGCCATTATTTTCTTTAGGCGCCACAGAAGCGAAGATGATCGTTCACCAAGATTAAGATGACTTTTTAGATCGTTTGTACTTGATGACAATCTCAAAGAAAGAGGAATCTTGGGTTCAGAATTTACTCGAACGGGTGGTAATTGAGTGGAAGGAGATGGCGTCCCTGCAAAAAAGTTCATCGGCGGAAGCATGAGAGAAAGGGCACTGTCTAAGGGATGGTCCACTGCAGATTGTGGTTCCTTTTAAATAATAAATAAGAAGGCATGTAGAGTCAGATTCCATATGTGTAATGGAAAGTAAAGAAGAAAAACAAAATTGCGCAAAATATGACAAAAAGACAGTTTAAAAGTATACTCGGAGAATAAGGAAAAGGCATATGCATTGAAACACGAGATGGTACATGTTTTCTATATTTACAATATCAGACATTGTTGATCATAGGCATGATATATACATTTCTCTATTGATATCTATTATTTGTAATTAACTAAAGGTGATGAAAAGATGCACGCCATAATCAATGATGCAATCATCAGTCATTCACTTTTTATGAAATGTTTTCTTACCGTTTTGATATCGGCCTTCTCGGCTACTTTTCTTATTGCAGTAATAAGTTTGAATCTCTGATCTCCTTTTGGTACTTTTACGTTCTGTATGTTAGTTAATGCAAAGAATGCATTACCATACCAATTATTATCTGTTGTTATAAGTGGGTAGAATTCAGGTCAAACGTGTTTGTAATTCATCAAACGTTGAAGAAGACAATTAGGTTTGACCCCACAGCCCGTACATACCAATAAAGTGTTGTTTATAGTTGCCAAATCCATTATCTTCTAACCACTGTACCACTCGGTTAATAGTCCAATCTTCAACAGTCGATTCATCGACCGACGAGGATCTACTGCGTTCATGTGAATGTGCAGTAATATGCTCTCTGCGTGTTAATGCACTGCCAGGACCCGGCAAACTACTATCGACATTAGTGTGAATAGGTGCAGGCGGTGCTTGTCTTCTATTAGCATTATCATTAGCTTCATCCGTTATTAATGTTGTGTCTCCCTCACTATTACTTATATTACCATTACTAACATAAATACTACTACTACTATTAATACTGCTGTTACTTGTACTGCTGCTTATTGAGGTAGAGGAGTAGTTCTCCTGTTCTACTTGATTGCTGAGCGAACGCAAATCTGAATTGTATAAACTTTGTGAGTGTGAACTTGAATCCGAGGACGAGCGGGAACGACGCTCTTCAATAGGGAAATGACCGTCAGATTGAGAAGGTTCATTGGGTGGTTGAGAGGGTAATTCAGTAGACGTTTGTTTGTCTGAAGAGCTGTGGTTGTTCATTGTGGGGAGGTTGTATGTGTCGAAGTTGGTGGTCGAATGTGAAATTGTAGTAGTCATGTGATCGATGGAGATCTCATACATCTGGAGAAGAAAAGATATGTTGCCCTTGCAATTTTCTCGCTTATATTTATTTGGATTGCACGATGTACGCCAAGACTAATCCGAATTTTTGGTTGTGCTCGGTTGCACTTCTTTAGAATTTTCCCGATTCTGGCAAGAAGGGTATTTGACTTATCACGTGCTGTACTCTTATGTAACGGCGGCGTTATAATAATTCATATTGTCCAAAAATCCCCTTTATACCATATTTATATTCAGCGTGTCACCAGATACATTACATTCTCATCGCATACTCTTCAAAACAAGAATCTTTCTTTACTCAACCATAAACAGAGTTACATGAGCCTCGTAAGCAAATCTACTATAAAAGAACGATATTATCTAACATGAGCTTATAGTTATAAAAACGTTAACAATGATTAAAAACTACAATTGCACAGCAATCTGAAAGTTAATTGAGTTGAATGTTGTACATCTATTCCTTCGATTTTTACAAATGTACAGGGACAACCAACGAAAACCGAAACGATAAACCAGGCATAAATCTATTAAGAAAAGAGCGGAAACATCACGGTATCACATCGTTTTCCAATCTATTGTCATCAGCATTGCCATCCACATTGCCATCCACATTGCCATCCACATTGCCATCCACATTGCCATCCCATTGCCATCCCCATCGCCATAACTTATGCCAAGACTCCATTGAAACTTAGACATCCCGAGCCCTACCGTTCACTTTCTTTCGCTTACTAAAAGAGCTTGTTACATTTAAAAATAAATGACATTTGTATCACAACTGCGAGTAAACAAATAGCAGAAAAAGTGAGGAGAAATTGTTTACTTGGTGGTTGCTACCGCTGATGTTGCTGTCGCTGCAGTAGCTGTTGCTGTTGTCGTCGTCGTCGTCGTGGTGTTGGTTGCAGTGGTATTGGCGGTGGCGGCGATGCTAGGGTTGATGGTGTTTGCTGCTACTGCTGCTGTTGATTGCAGGTTTGAAGATTGTTGAGGGGATGATTTGCGCAGTTCAGTGAGAAAATCCTGTCCGTTTGCCATCAAGTTGCCTGTATCGATTATAGAAAGTTGAGTTAATAACTATAAAACAAATGATAACTAGCAGTAATCAATAATAAGTATTATTTATTATATCACCGTTTACCTTTCTGTGCCCAACCTTTACCTCCCCAAGCTTTCTCCGAACTCTTATACGAAACTGGTTTTTCTAAATGAACGAAACAGGATTCCATTGCGTTAGCCCATTCGTATTGTAATTAAGATACATGTAAAGAACAAACTTCAACACAAAATACTTATCAACTGGCATATCTTTACCAGTTTCGGGAAGACTACTATCATACAATTGATTTAGTGCTTCTTTCCAACCTATAAACGGTTCCAAAGCAGTAACTCGATTAACTACGGTCACGAATCGTCTACAAATTCTCAGCACATTACTTCAATGTCTTACTTCTATTCAAAAAAGCAGAAACTTCTGCCGCGTTAAATTGATTCACAGAAACATGTTCCTGCGTAGGTCGAAGTGGAGGCATTCCCGATGCAGCCGAGTCTGGGGAATAACCAATATTTGTGTTTCCAACTGACGTCGAGACATCTCTGTTTCTGCCTAGTCTGTCTCGGGCCATTTTTTCGTTCATAAAAGCACAAAAATTCGATCCCTTCCGTCAAATTAACGAAAAAGCCATCCAATCAAAAGTTCCATTATTCACGTGTTCAGTAAGTCCACGGTGCAAAAGTCGCAGGGCCAGCACATTTTCCTACAAATAAATAAAGAAATATATGTAAAATAACACGTTTAGAGATTATGAAAGGCAATCCATTGAATGAACGAGCTACATGCTGAAAGCCATATGCGCGAGCGTACGTTTAATCTCAAACTAATGGCTCATCAGTTAAATAAAAAACCTCCACTTTGTAACATAGACAACTTTATGGAAGCTTTGCATGAAGCTTCCTTGGTTATGACGTTTTATGTTTGATTATTAACGTTCCGATAAGTATTAACGCAGTTGATATTAAGTGTTTGTTGATTATCACAAGCAAAACGTCATCGTGCTTTTGCTAACTATAAACAATATTAATATCATAATTATTATGTTGCGCAAAAATTGTAAAAGTTCCTCGCGATAATTTAAGTAGAGGGAACTTTGGAATTATTGTGTAACGAAAATATATTCTTTGAGTTTTACCTTATTACTATTTTTAATTATTTCTTGGCATGCGACGAACCAAATTAACATATGTGTTTTTTCAATCTTTCCCATTCTTTCTGAGTTACTCCACAAAAGACCTCTACTGTAACCACTTGCTTTTTAACCAGCATTTCATTGGCTTGTTTTTCAGCACTTGTTTTCAAACAGATTTTCAGTTAAAACTTCGATACAAAGCATCATCCATGATACGCGTAAAAAAGAAAAACTCCGAGTGTCATTCCTTGTGCCTATTATTAAGAAGAGAAACAGTCTTTGGGACAGTGCAACAATATTGCATATTGTAAAGTTCATTGAGCGCTAGCACGATTTCTGACATTAAGGTCAGTTTAACGTATTTTGCAAGTTTGGTAGAATATTTGCTACTTGTGGCCAGTTGACCAAGATGACGACGTTGATTAGGAGAGCTCTCAGGTCTACCAGAATGTTGTTTACAGTCCAAAGATTTCCAATTTATGTAATTATTCATATATTAATATTGTAAAAAGCGGAATAGAAGTTAATTCATGTATAGTGTAGACATCAAGAGTACCATTTGACCGAGAGTAAGGATCAATCGAAGGTTTTGCATTGTATTGTGTCAAATGACTTGCGGGGGCGTAGCCACACCATTTTAATCGGACGCGTATTTGCAATTGCAGAAAATAAAGATTACGTTTACTCATCGAATCCCATGCTCGGGACCGGTATTTGCAGATAATTCGCCCCTCATAATGCTCGACAACATATTTGATAGTAATACCAAGTCACGGGGATAAAAATTGATTGAAAACGCAAAAAACTCACCCAATTGTTTCGTTCTTCTGAGAATTATGTCCACTCTCCGCACTTACCGTCTTCTGTCAGTTGTATCCCGTACTCCATCATATTCTCGCTTTTATGCAAGTTCAGCTTCTACAAGTGGAGTCTCGCACGGCGAAGAACATCAAGAGCCGCCGAATGAGGAGCTGCCAAAAGAAGGTCGGCAGGGGGAGGGGCTAAGGGACAGCCTTGACTTGATAATTCGGCTTTTATTGCTTCTATAATGCTAATCGGTTGAATGATATAATATATAGGCTTTACGGGCAAAGCCTGGAGGAATTCGTTGATATTGGTAGCTATTGGAATTGTGTGGTATAATGTTGATAAATACTTTGTGCGGAGTCGTGAGGTATAAATGTTAAGACTAAGTATTTGTGATCAGGTATGGTGTCGGAATGTATCTTGACTCTTCTGCCGTTGATTTAATTGTTTCGCACTCTTCTCTGTCAGAGTAAACATCCAATCACCGCGGTAAGCTTGCCAATTACAGTAATATTACAATTGTGAAGCAGCATTTTTTTACGTTATATTTACCATGCTTTACTTAGTGGATAGAATCGGCTATGATTCCAGAAACAGAGAACATACGACGATCGAGCGAACATACATCTCTAGTAAAGGAGGAAGCTAAGGATAAGTATGTATCCAACATGAGCGCGTGAAATGCATATTTTTAGGTCAATTGAACGCAACAATCTATATTACCGTAGGAGGTTGTTTGGAGAAGCACAACTGCCACCAATCTACCGTTTCAGATTCCCAGAGTAAGTGCATAGAGAAAGCATCAGAACCGCATTTCCATTCATTAACAAGAAATACATTTGATCTATTGCAGGCAGTTTGACAAAGCTAGTCCTTTCATGAAGGAATTGGGGAACGAAGTTGATCTATCCGATTTGGTTGTTAGGAATGATTAAACTAATAAAAAGAAACAGCTTCAAAGTCAATGCTCTAATTTGTGCAAGTAGATTTTATTCTATTTATGTAAGTCTATGAACTTTTGCAAGATGATAAAAAAAAAGATTTCTATTTAATTATTGGTAAAAAGTATTTTTACGAAATACAGCTGACTACAATATAGAACGTCCTTAATTTCGAAGGGGCGACCGCTAAAATAATAATTGATTCAATTTCCGCTTGTTGCCGTATTATTATAACTGTTCCCCTTGCTCCTTTCCCTTCCTCACTCTTCGCTTTGCAATATCCTTTGGTTTGTTGTTAGAAAAGAAGAATTTACATACTATTTCAATCAAGTATGATACGAAGAAATCTCCCAACATTGTGGCCGTGAGTTTCATTTGAAACTAAAGAAATGCATTAGTCAACAATAGTCTTTAAATTACTTGACAAAACTTTATAATATTTACCTCTGTTGTCATTGGAACTAGTTGTAGCGCAGAGTTGACTTCTGGTATGAATTCAGTAGCACCGGAGAGAGCAATTCCACCGACACTTAACAGACCATAATATAGTGTTTTATTTTCTTGAAGACTTTCTCTGAATGGATGACCCTGAATGTCATGAGAGATGTTGATTAATTTACATGATACGCCAATTTTATGATAATAACTCGAATAAACGTACCTGATAATTGATTGCAAACGTGGCGACTTGCATCGATAACGATATCAAATATACGGCAGTGTTTAATAGGCTAGGCTCGAATTCGCCTTCCAAATCAACCTCTTTTCGCCTAAAATTTGTCATTTTGCATTATTAAAGGAAATCGAAATACCTCCGTATACATTATGCCAACAAGGGACGATTGTACTTACGGTTCATACTTGTAGACCAAGTCGAGAATGTACACAAGGGACGCGATGTGAATAGCAAATTGACCAAGAATCGATAATATTATGTAGAAATTGAATATGTTTGCTTGCGGTCGTTCTTTGGATAATTTTTCAATCGGCTATTTGAGAGAACAAATGAAAAAACGATTGAGCAGCTTGTTGACGCAAAACACAGTCAAAGCTGAATGGACACGTACTTTTGCTTTTGAGATGCATAAGAAACAAACAGCCAGTAATATTCCTGATATCGTAACTTGTCTGGAAATTGAGTAATACGGTCAAATATCAAGTTGAATAACTCCGATATGTTATATATTTTTTATGCCTTACAGATCACCGTATTTAAAGCCCTCCAAGTAAAGAACACTTAGACTGTAGGCGGAAATCAAACAATTTAATGCCAAAATCTTGTACATCTGAATAGTAGCAACGAGTGTGCAGCGTCCTTGTCTAACAATATTACTGACTGTAATACGGAAATGGCAATGTCAAATATCATATTGATGAGCCATGATTAACATACTACGGAATGTTTTAAATAATTGCAAATGTATAAATTACTTACTTGCTACAACGTTTGCGAGCTTTGAAGTAAATGGCGCCGCAACAGAAGCGTCACCCAGTTTAATAGTCGGCGGCTCATCGTCAAGATTCTGTAACTGTTCCATCATTTGTTCCACCTAATTATATGCAAAAAAAAATTTAGTCTCGATAAAAATACTCCCCTTACCTAATTAATTCATCATACCGAAGGAGCCTGAGGATTTCTCCGCTGCTGTCCATTCTGCCGAGCCGCCTGTTGTCGAGCTTGCTGCGGATACAGATGAGCGATGGCTGGTGGGGGTGGGGGTGGGGGCATGTTGAATTTTGCTGTAAACTGGAGCTGTTTTTCGTACATATCCTTTAATCTTTGCATCTTTTGATGCTCAGCGATCTTCTTAAGATCTTCCGGTTTGCCGTCCAGCAAAGCAACGCCTACGTGTGCTTGTTTTAGTGCTCCGACGTCGTTTGTACCATCACCACACATTAATGTCGTATAACCGAATTGTTTAAGGCTTGTTAAGATAAACTCCTGGATTGGTTTGTGAACGGTTAAATAACTTTTTGTTAAAGTACCTAACGAATACACGCTTTTAATCGGCTTACTTTCTGTCCGGGTGATACTCGAGCATATACCCATGTATTGGTTAACAAGTCTTTGACTAAGGGTTTGTTCTCGTATTGAGCCAATGCCGCACCTGTGACACATATATCGTAGTCACGGAAGATAGTTTTATCAAACGGTTCGGCAGAATTTACGTGGATAATTTTGGTTTCATCGACCGATTTCCATACAAGCTCTGAAATAAAGCGTCTGGTAAGTTCTGCTGCATAAAAGAATTGTGAAATTGAATAAGGCAAACAGCTCTATGGAACTAACCTTCTTTGTTCTCTTCTTCGTGATAATCAAGTATCAGGACATCCCGTTCGACTATTTCTACTTCCTTGGCGATATGAACGGCCGTCAATGGATTGTCTCCAGTTATCATGATAGTCTATGAATTAAAAGATTAAGATTTCACGATATGTTCGATATTTAGTAATCGACAAGTAATTTGTTAGTGCCGGCCAGTAAACTGCTTACGCGATGAGAAGACTCGTTCAACATCTTCACAGTCGATGCTGCATCTTCTTTCAATGGGCATTGAAAAATCAAAAATCCAGCAAAAATAAGACTGCTTTCAACTTCATCTCGCGAGAGATTATTTATCTAAAACAAAATACGTGACAACTTAAGGTATGGCCACATAAAATTAAACTAGCTAACATTTGATGTGCTAATCCTTTACCTCATCAGCGGACAATTCTTTTTCGATATATTTATATCCCAATGCCAGCACACGACTTCCTCTCCGAGTGAAAAATTTATATGTCGTTTCATAATCATCAGGCACATAATTACACTTGTGCCTAATTATCTCGGGTGCACCCTTGGCAGCCACGAAAACCTTTGATCCTCTGGGAGTAGACATGGTGGAAACGCTAGACATTCGCTTAAGGGCAGATGAAAACTGGAATCGACGTCTGATTCGAAGAGCAGAGCGTTGCTGAAATTTGTGGGATTGATTATTTGCTGGCGTGACAACGTCACCTATACAATTGTTTCGAATTATTGAATCCACGTATATCTCTTATATATCAAAAGCACTTTCTTGACATACCTTTGCCGAGTTTCCATTCGAGTGCTTCAAGCGTGGCCTTTTCCATTGGGTCACCAACAATTTCGTTGTCTTCAAGCAAGACTAACGCATGTGCTGTTGCAAGCGTTTGAATAGTGTTTCGTAATGCATCTGTCGGCTTTACCAGTGTCAGCGGATCCTCGGGACTAGCAATTACGTGATATAAGTAAAACAGTACGCATTCAAGGAAACGAGTAGTCAAGATATTATGTGTAATGGTAAATTCACTCACTATATTCCGGCTATCCCTTCCACTACGAGATCTTCGCGTGTCAATGTACCAGTCTTGTCAAATGCACAAATGTCAATTTTACCAGCATATGGAATTCTAAAAGGCTCAGTACAGTAAATTGCTTTAAAAAGCGCGTAAAATGAGTAATTAGCGAGATTATATCAATATGTTCTACACAGCATAAATACTGGCATCTCACCATAACGAGCTAATGCCACTAAAGAAGTATTTACTGCCAATGACAGCTCCATCGGTAATTCGGGCGGAACAACAGAAGTAATAATCATGATGCACTCTAATATTAATTTTGATCGCTTTCTATCGACCTTCACACCTGAATGTCAGAACAATCACGAAGGTGTTAATTTTCTATTGTGAGGTAAGATATCTGATTCCTATATTAAAAACTTTTCATCATACCTTCGTTCCATACATAGCCAGCTGCAGTAAGCGCAAATATGAGCAGGAATACAATAAAAAAGAAAGCTTCCAAATTGTTGGCAGACACGTGTTCCGTGCTGAATACCATAGTCCGCACGAGTTTTCCTTGAGCTGTTCCAAACCCAGTACGAAGCACGACGGCCAGACACCCGCCATCGGGAGCTAATTAAAGTGTGTTGGAAAACATGTAGATGGGTCCAACGAGAGATTAGTAAAAAAAAAAGGAATCTGAGATTTACTCTCTTGTTTATTTAATAATAATACCTGACAGAGAATCTTCACTTGGAGGTGGAGTGACTTGGAGCACCTTGGTACCCCCAAATATCATACTATTCTTATCGGTAACATTCATGTCAAGAACGTCATTTCCATTGCGAAGATTAATCGATTCCTGTACGAGAACAACCGCATTAATAATAATTGGTCTTTGTATCATGGTGTTTGTTGGCATTGCATTCATGATGAGGGATGTGGGTATCGATATGTATTTAATTTTTTCAACAACAGTTAGTCATCCTAACCTTTAATAGGGGCGTAGATTCTCCTGATAACATAGCCTCATTCACTATACATGATCCGTTTATCAGAATCATATCGCATGGAACTCCACTCTCCCCGTCCGTACGAACTAAAACCAAACAGATATTAGCATATCAGAGTTAAACCGACAACACATTCTACGACAGACGGCATACCAACTGATGCCAAGTCACCAGGGAGCAATTCATCTGAATTCACTGTTATCCAACGGTGTTGACGTCTCACGTGGATAGGGTAAGGTTTAATAGACATTGTGCGAAATTCATTCAGTGTTTTCAGCCGCTAAATCCATGGTGTCACCAGAAGGTATTAGAACTTGTTTTAAACCATGATCCGAATTTCCATATACCATCAAAAATGTGAAATTACCTGAAATACGACAGTCGACTCAAAGATTACCAACATGATCAAAGTAAATACAGAATAATACCAATATTCATCAATAACCCATAAACCAACACAAAAAAGCTGAAACACGAAGAATGGTGCAACAGCGTGCTCCTTGAACAATTGACGGAATGACGGCACGGGTATATCGAACCTGATTCAACGGGACGTTTTGGTAATTAAAGATCGAGACAACATAGCAAAAATGACATATCACGAAAGACAAATCAAATGACATCGCCCATTACCGATTGAATCCATATTTCTCCCTTGCAACATCAATCTCTTGACGTGTTTCTAAACCTCGATTACGTTGATACGTTGAAAGAGTCGGCTGAAGATCATTCGGGTATAAAAGCTTACTGAAATACTTTTTATCTTCATTCCAGATGTATTTCTTTCTTTGATAAAAAAAAGAAATCTCTCCATTCTATAATAATAGAAAAAGATGTTAACAGCCCGTTTGCGATCGAGGTAATATAAGTAATAAGAAAAAGGCGTACCTTGTAATGATTAATAGAACACAATTCACCTTTGCCCTTATGGGGAGCAGGAATAATCTTGATGACTTTTGCAGTTTGCACGTCAGTCTCCTAAAAAAATATTCCACCATAAGCTATAACGTATCGAATTTCAAACCAAATGTTGTATTTCCACTACCATTTATAGGTTTGAAAACTCACCGAAGCTTTTCTGCATGTAAAAAACGCTTTCAGCCTCACGCTCCATTGACAAGTCAAAAATATTAAGGCGTTTGCCGTAAGCAATGTCCCGAGAGTTAGAAAAGTGTATTCTTCCGATCTTATAAATTCATCATACGCAAAGAAATACACATAGCTCCATAGAGGATAAAGGATCGCAAACGGCCACACATAAGCGTGCCATTTGAATGGACGTGGTATGTGCAAGGATGATTCTCTTATCGACTTGGAGTTCACAAGCCTTACGCGAGAGCTAGTTGTTGATAGAAGTGAGATAAATTTTGAGATAGGTAAAAAGATATTAGAGTGTTAGAATGCGTAAATCAATTACTTGTCGAGAATTAGAACTAACAAGTCAATGGCTGATCAAATAAAAATGAATCATAAGATAACACCCAGCTATACATACACACGCTTCTTCCTTATCAACCATATTCCAATAAATAACAGTAATACAATGACGGCAACAGTGATAGCAGTAGCTTCGATCCAGTGTTCTCGTAAGAAATCCTGCAAGTACTCCAAGTAATCCTGCGAGTGTTCCAGTCCCTCGTTCACAACGTTCTCGTCCGTAAAGTCGTCGCTTACAGTCGCATTCTCAGGTACCTCAGGCTCTGGCTCAGGTACGTCAGGCTCTTTCTTACTTACACCCCATGCGGTACACAAATAGTCTATAAATTTCTCTTGAGTCTCTTGGGAAACTAGAAAAGTCAGCGCTTCCCAAGTTGGTTTATCACACAAGTTCATTAGGTGATTTATTAAACCTTATGATAATTAAATGCTGTATTTTATCGCACACGAATTGCAAGTACCGAATCCGATCTACAAGCTGTTCGAGATAACCAAAGAAAATAAGCTTGCCTAAAGATATTTCTGTGCTCGCATATGCTACTGACCAAATGTTAGGTAACACAGAAACGCGTCATTATGCAATTATGAACAATCGAAGGTTGCTCAGATTTACCGGATCATTTCATCCATCCGGATTTTGGATATTGTTTATAGGTCAAACTATTGACGCTGCCGCGCAAGTGTTTATCCTTGGCGTACCGCCCAAGTTGGTGAGTGTGTGGTTTTCTATGGGGCAACAGAATCTGGCAATTTCTGTTGGTATTATGGCAAATAACGCTGGTGTTGCTGCTGGGTAAGAATCGCATATGATTGTAGAATGGGAGGTAGGTGTGTTCTATGTTGGTTGCTGTAGTTTTATTCGACGGCTCCAACATGATTGCTATTATATACTAATGTATGCGTCTGTTGGCTGATGTAGGTTTCTGTTGTTCACCATGGATGATAAAAGAGAAAACAGCCGATACTGACATCCCCAAATACTTGTTTGTGCAGTCATGTGAATCATATCTATACGTTTATTTGCTAGTGATACATGTAAAAGATTTTTCGTTATGAGAATATGTTATTTTTCCTACCCCATCTATTAATGGCATTAACAAATGCCTTTTAATAATAATAACGATACTATTCAGATGGTAAAACTTAACATAGAAAACGTGTAATTGTTTGTTGTTTAAGTGAAGACAAACGATGTACACTCGTACCCAGTTTATATATCCCCTTTTGTTTTGCCTCAAAGTGGGGATATAAACGGGTTGGGGATATAAGTGTACAATGTATTGTATCTTATCGTATAAGGATATTTGTTTTATAAACGTTGGATATAAACGGGTACGAGTGTAATTCAATTTGATTGATCTACGCTGGTTGGCTGTCAGATCCTCTGTTTTAAGCTCGACGGAGTTTTCTGTGGAACTTCCCGATTCGTCTATGCGGAATACTTATCGCGGCAAATTTGCCTGTAATACAGTTTAAGGGATAATATAACCCTAACCCTAACATATTTGTAGTACATAATAATAACTGGACATTCTATCCACTTTTAATTCCTTTAATCAATTCATGCGAGAACATTACGGGAGATTATATGAGAAACTAGAAACTTTATCATGGGGGCTTTTGGACCTCGACCTTTTGGGGTCTTCCCGATGATCGCAATTAATTTTAACACGATCAGTGATTACCATTGGGACAATCACGACGAGCCAAACTCTCTCTGTTTTCTAGTGGCGTTAGGAGATTTTGAGGGTGGTGAGCTTTGCTTTCCACAACTCCAGATCTTGGTTCCATTGAAGCCAGGGCAGATCATGTATGGTATTCATCTCGAGTTATTGGGTTTGCAATGTCTGCTGTTTGCATTGACTCTGTCACATAGATCTGTGTATCTTAAAATCATTCAACTTAATAGTGATATTTGAAATTAATTGACGTTTTTTTTTTACCGTCATCAATTGTTCGTGGAGAATCTTGATGAGATTGGTAGTCGTAGGAAGAATTGTAACTTACATATGGGTTGTAGTAATTATTACTGTATCCATTGTTTAGTAGTCCGAATGGTTGAGTAGGTTTCAGCATATCGACCATGCGGATGACTTGCCTACCGGCAACCTCACATAACCAAGCATCCAACACTAGCGATCCGAGAGTAAATAAGAATGTCCAGTACATCAGATTCATGAACGTCCTACTCGTGCTTGTGACAGTTCTCGATGCATTAGTATTATTCGTAGCTTGCAGCGATTTTGACATGAAGGAATGTGTTGCATGCAAGAAGGGTAAATTATTGCACGAGTGACAAATCTGCATTGCTGTGCGAAATCAAGTCACCGCTCGGATTGTTGATCAAATCGTGAGTAAAGTCAGCATAGTTGACCATAAGTTCTTGTGGTTTGTGAGACTTGTTATTGGTAACTGCCGAGTCCTCATCATCCATCACCTCGTTGATCAAATAAGTCACTTGATTTGGTGGGCCCTTTATTCAGCACAGCTACGTGGACCGCTAAAGCTGTTTATAAGTCACTTGAGTGAGACTATCATCCAACTGTTTGTCGAGGGACGCCATACAATCTGCAAATTCTTTCTTCTTTTTTAGATTTTTGACGACGATGTTCTCGTTTCTCGCTCTTGCGTTCACGAGGTCCCGATGGCTACATCAACAGGTTCCGCAGTCTTTTTAGTCTCGTCCGACTGTAATCTCCCATCGATATTCACCAGACTACTTCAAGCAATTTGCCTTTGAAAAAATCTCTATAACATACTAAATTAGGGTTGTGGACATGGAACACAGACGAGTTTGGTTACTCATAAACGTTCCGCTCTTGCTGCGTCGGTTGATCGTCCATTCAGCTTCTTGATTGGTGATTGCTAATATTAATATTAAACCAAATGACCAAATAGGAGAAACTGCGGGCTCTTTGCCTTCTTTTATTTGCAACACTTTCACATTACTATTACGACATTGAGTACAAAGCAAAAAATTTCCAGATTGTGTAATGACATGTCCTTACGTATGATATATCATCGTGCTACTAATTGTCAACCAGATGATACGATTATGGTTATCTGTATTAGTATAGAAGAAATAACCGTTATTTCATTAACTAAATCCCTGGGGTCGATCGCCAAGATATTTGTGATAGTGTAAAGTTGAAATATCACAACTTTTTTTTATCATGTTACACGAATCATGGAATAAGAAAAAAAAAATCCCCCGCCTGTACCTTATAAGAAGAAACTCCCGCAACCGCAGCGATATAAGAAAATAAACCCATAACAAACCATTCTGTGGGTTAAGCATTATTAGAGATCACCTGCCACGGCCAAGTGGATTAAGCACAACTTTGTAAGTGTGACAATGTCGTACATGAATCCAGATCTTGTTCGGAGTGAGAGTTTTTTAGATTTCGCTTGTCCGTTTCAACACATTTACGCACAAAGGAAAAGAAAGGAAAGGGAAAGGAAAATGAGAGAAAGGAAAGGCATACACCTCACAATTCTGTCCTTTGCTTTGTAGACGAATTGGAAATGGTTTACGACAATAAACGCACGAGCGTCAGACTCCCACCTGGTCTGATTTTATTCTCCGGAGAGATTCCTCAATTTGTAGCGATTACGAGTGCGATTCAATTATTCGAGGCTACAGGAGACGGTGCGTTCGTGGAATGTAATGCCAAAGGTGACGAGAACTGTAACGACACGGAAATTGTGAGCGAGGTAAATCCAATTGGGGAGGTGACGCTATTTGAAAAAACGCGTTGGGGAGGATGGCTTGGATGATAATTTAATGGTTAATTCAAAATTAATAGTTATCGTTTGGCTTAATTTTAACTAATCTCTTTTTCTCTCTTTTTTTTTTTGATTCAATAGCCATTCGTTTTAATTACCAATTTTCGTACATGTTTCCAACCGCCAAATAGTCCTCAAAGTTCCCTGGTTCAATTCACTCACCTCTCGATTTCTCAGATAGACACGACACCCTACCAACTCACCATTACCCTGAAATTCTCCCCATCAAAATATCTCTTCAAATTCTCTAAACCCAAAATATCAACCCCATCGACATACATCAGTGTCAAACCAAAGAACGATTCTTCAGTATGTGAAGTATTTGCGGCCATACTCAAAAAGCACGCTTTCCCATCATCGATAGAGAATACATTCGCATTTAAATTGGGAAAGCGGATAGTAGACGAAACTGATGAAAAAAGAAAGTGTGTGGAAAAAGGGAGGAAAAAAACGTTGGAGGATGAAATCATAGATCAGATATATGGCGAAGGTAGTAGTGATGAGTCGGAGAATGAAGTAGAGACTAAAGGACTTGATAAAGATGTTTATATGAGAGCGAAAAGATTGGGGTGGGGAAGAGGGTATAAGATTCAAAAGGAGTTTGAGAGAATGCAGATTAACAAAGACATATGGTGAGTGCAGGATTAATATTTGATGATGTTTAACCTGGTGATATTCCGTAGTACGTCTCTTTATTGAACACACGACGTAACATAACATCGTTGAAGTATACGACAAACACTTAATGACTCTAGCTTTTTTAATTCCACAGGTGCATATCAGAAATCAACGAAGATTTTAATCTCTCAGCAACCTATCCGCGGGATTTTATTCTTCCGTCTCAACTCCTAAAACAGACTGCTTCCTCATCCGACGACATAGTAACAGCAATGCAAGGAACAAGCTTTCGGTCGACTATGCCTTTATCTAATTCCATTGCCGTATCGCCCGAATCAAATTCGACCTCCACTGAAAAGTTTTTCGCAAACCTTGCTCGATTTCGTTCACGCGGTCGATTTCCTGTATTATGTTGGAAGCGAAATCGTACAGTATTGATGCGCAGTGGGCAGCCGATGGTAGGGTTCCTTGGATCAAGAGGACGGGAGGATGAATCCCTAATACATGAGGTAGTTAGGGCTGTTGACGATGAAGTATGTGGGAATTATGGTGAACTTTGTGGACGAAAGATAAAAGATGTGGGAAAGAATAGCGTGAAGATTTGTGTTCTTGATGCTAGAGGATATGCGTCAGCTTTTGGTAATGGATATACTGGAGGCGGATATGAGAATATAGGTACGTTCGACCTTTATTGTACGCATCATTGTATATGTCTGTTCAATTACTTAATTTCATTCATTATCTCCCGCGCAATTACAGAACACTACCCGAAAAATACTACGCTTCACTTTTTGGGCCTCCCCAACATCCACTCGATATCGTCTTCTCACACGAACTTACTTCGTGCAATATCATCGAATGCTTCGGCTCCTAACTGGTTCTCTGTTATTGAATCTACTGGATGGCTTGGACACGTTGCGGATTTATTGAAGGCTGCTGGAGGTGAACATGGTGTTGTGGGGAGAATCTTGGGTGGAGCTAGCGTTTTAGTGGTGAGTGTTTTTGATTGATTAGATGGATGGGTGCGTGTGCGTTACTTTATTAAACATTTAAATGACTTTGATTCTTATTTCTACAGCATTGCACCGATGGATGGGATAGGTAACGTTACATAACAACTACGTCACAACTTATTCAATGAATCCGAACAAGTCACTCACTTTTAATACTTTTATCAAAGAACAACACAACTAGTTTCGTTAGCGCAAATAATGCTTGACCCATACTATCGTACAATTAAGGTATTTTAATAAGCAGATTGCAGTTTTGCACGACTCTGTCTAAAGCAAAGAGCACAGTACATTCCGCATATTGTCGATCTGTCTGATAAAAATTTAAATTGTTTGCCTTAGGGTTTCCAAGTATTAATAGAAAAGGAGTGGCTAGCTTTTGGTCACCCGTTCCGTTCCAGATGTGGCTTACCGTCATCTCTCCAATGTTCTTCGATTTTACCTACAACATCGCCTCCCTCTGCTCGTCAACCCCATCAGTCATCTTCGATTATTTCCGTTCCATCTCCTGTGTTTCTACTCTTTTTAACCTGCGTACATCATCTCATTGAGCAAAACCCAGACAAATTCGAATATAATGATTTTCTCTTGCTTTGCTTGGCAAGGGCAGCTGGAGGAAACTCTCCGTATGGTGACTTCTTGTGTAATTCAGAATGCGAAAGAACATCTGTCGGACTAAGAGAAAACACTTTAAGCATCTGGGAATTCGTCAGAGCAAGGAAGAAATTTTTCATTAACCCTGCGTACAGGAGACCAACACAGGATACAAAGCAAAATGATATTAAACTTTCAACTAATGCAAGATCGATTGGGCTCTGGGATGAATATTACTTCCCTAAGGATGATATTTCTATATCTCTCCTCTGCACTCCTCTTGATGTAGAGTTCGTTCCTCCACATGCGACTCGAGCTTTCCCTCATCTGATTTATGGGAGTAACATACCGGGACTTACGTCTGAGTATTATATTGCTAATATGTTTATCAAAAGACGTAGGCGAAGGTTGATCACTCTTGTTTGGCGCACATGGAGAGGAGCGTGTAGAAATGAGAGAATTGGCGAGAGTAAAAAAACCAAGGGAGTGAAAAGAATGATTGGAGATGACAATGAGTGTATAATAAGTAACGTACAAAGGTTAACTATTGATGGCACTGGAGAAAGAAGTGGGAAGAGGCGATCAGCTGACGTTGGAATGATTGGACACATTATGGCCGATGAAGATAACTGGGATGATGTAGTAGATATTATTGATAACGAATCATGGCAAGAAAGTAACAATAGTAGTGGTGGTACAAGTAGTGAGAGCTTTGAAGAATATAAAAGTAGCAGCACTACCAGTATGAGTAGTAACGGAGGAGATGAAACTGAAAACGAGGAGACAAAAATCGGTGACGGCCCAGGACAAGGTTCTGAAGAACACGTGCCTCGAATGGTAATCGTTATAAAGAATATTCATGAGCGTGAAGCTTCTAAAGGAATACAATCAAGAACGGCACCTCAATCAGTACCATCAAGGACATCGAAATCATATCCAAGATCATCTGCCAGACCGTCATTAAAATCACCAAAAACGCTATCGAAACCTACCATAACATTTCCTTATACGCCGCACTCTTCGTCCTCAAATGCATCTCCTAGATCTTTGACCAATAGTAGCTATGATTGGGTCGATTTGAAGAATGAAGATGATGACACAAACGAATTAAGCGAGTTATTACGTGAAGCACAGAAGGATGAGATTTTTCACGTAAAGAACATAAAGAGAAGGAAGAGTACGGGGAAGAACTCTCATACGAGAAACTGTGTGGGTAGTAGGAACGGGATGACAGCCAACGAGAAGGCCATAGCATATGCTATTCGCAACGCTACTAACGAGTCGATTATGGACGACAAAACTATATCATCACATCTAGCAGATGCGGCATCGGATGAAATTATAACTAGTCCTACAGTTTCTTCCTTTCCTCCGTCGTTCCTGTCATCGTCATCGTGCTCGTCGCCGTCGTCATCTCCTCACCAAAAAATTTACTTAAATACTTCGAATCCACATTGTTCCCATCCCACCACCCAAGCAAACATTTCAGGTGCACTTCCGTCTCGGACTTTTGTTGAAAATTACTTCTCGTCTGATATTCCCTCTTCGTTATGTTTAGAGACGAGTGCTCCTGATTCGGGAGAATTTGTATTTGTGTAGGGAAGACTTATAATGATAGGTTGTATGGTGGTAGCCTTGTCTCCCTTATTAGGTGTGTAATGTAGTTTAGAAGATGTATTTCCGTTTTAATAATGTATAATAATATATTGGGGATTTTCGGTAGACTTTCAAAATGATGTAATAAGGTCAAAAAATTTTCATGCTAATGGATGAGGTGAGAAAAATTGGACCGGTAACTTTTTGATCGAGCTGACTTGATTAGGTTAAGACGTGTTTAGGTTTATTCATTATAAAATATATTATGGAAAATTGATGATGAATAATTCAAAAAATCGAACAAAGGTAATAAAATGAAATAACTGATAGAAATAATTTATACGAAAGCACGTTCTTACCATAAATGCAATACCCTCATATAAATGAAACATAACACTCGACGCTATGCCAAAACTTGCTGTAACGAATACGCGTGTCTAATGTAACGCATTTGCTGAAATGTCATTCAGATTATCGTAACGATATGCGTAATGCAGCAATTGACAACTTGTTTCATTCGAGAATAGTACTGTAGTGCGTGCAGCGATAATTAAGGATGACATTAAATAAGGTTGTTCCCGTTAGACAAGCTGTGTAAATAGCAGCGAGAGGGTTTATATATCATAATATCGACGTCTCGTAAAAGAGAACAAATACTTTAGTGCTTGTATGCTGGGAAATAGTTATGATTTGTATGTTGATACAAATGAAGTCAATTTACCGTCCATTTCTTATATCTCTTTTGAATAAACCGGAAACGAAACATAGGTAAACTTTGAATTACCCATATACAAAAAATTGAAATCTCGTCATATTGCACCATCGTATGAAACCTTCTAGACTTCCATTTGATTCACGGAAATTCGCCATCAACAAACGTTCGAGTTGGATGGCTCATTCTGTACCAGTTGCTACTTGCTAAATAGCATGATTAAGACGATACACTAACAAAAACTGTCAATGTTAATAGAAATTCATTACCTATATCACGTGATTTTGACTTATTTACTATTGCCTTTAGCGGGCGGCTCCCGACGGTTAGAAAAATCATGATTCCTTCTGATCGATATCGTGTCGGTTATGTTCTAACCAAACGTATCGCAGTCTTTGACTTGTTCAGAGAATATGCAAGGCAAGATTTTACTAATCAAATGTTTAAATTAGTTCTGTATAATGAACCCATTTATTTTGTAGCTCGCGCGGAATAGAGTTCGTTAAGCTCGATATCGGAAACTTGTCACAAGATCATGGCTTGTTTGATATCATAATCCACAAAGTCACAAAGTTGTTGATTTCTTCAGATCACGATGACGGCGATAAACTCGCGCAATTCGAGGTGAATTTTAAACTTTACAACAGAGCTGGGTGCATAGATTCGTAAGATCTAATTGCATGACAGGCATTTTTAGCGCAACATCCCGAATCGATTGTAATAGATCCTCTAGAATACATCAGACCATTAGTGAACAGAGGAGAGATGTTGAAAATGTTGGAAAAGTCTAGATGGGCAGGTAATAATAATTCATGAGCATAGTGCACTGACTCGGTAGTGAATCAGAAATTCATGCGAGCGTGATTACTAATCCGTCACCAACTTTTCAAGAGAATTCAACAGAAGCTCTTTTTTATCTCCCGAAAAGTACAATAGTTCGGCCGTTATCATTGGAGACTGTTCTGCAATCGGGTCTGAAGTTTCCAGTAAGTGTTGGCAGAGGCTCAACTGTTTTCATTATCAGTTGTGAATCTTTGGAAATCATATTTCTTTTTACCCTCTGTAGTTGGTCTGCAAACCAATAGCAGGGAGCGCATCGGTGCATTCTCATCAGATACTATTAATTCCATCCGCAGAAGCGTTTGCAAAATGTCTATCGGGAGAATTAGAGGACTATGTGAATCAGAATCAGTCTTGCTTATTACAAGAATTTGTGAATCATGATGGAATTATATTTAAAGCTTTTGTCGTTGGTAACAAATCTGTACATTTAACAAGGCCTTCAATGAAAAACGTAAAAGGTAAATGATTCGCGCGAATCTTGTGTATAACAGAACGCTTTTTAACCGATTACGTATTATTTTTTTTTAACAGAAGATGACAATGTACATATATTTGATAGCCAGCGTATCCCAAAGTCATTTGCATGGGAATCTGATTTTCCGTCTAAGCCTGAGACATGGGACACACTATTTGAAACTTCACCTTCTCAGGATATGCTCAGCTATAAAAACTCATTGTTAAGCGAATCACGTCTAAATGCCATTGCGACTTCTATCGGTCGGCGAAATGTAAGTGCTGCTAGAATAGCAATTGTGTTTAAATTCCTTTCCCTAACCAAGAAAGTCTGATGCAATGCACACTGTAGAATCTAACTCTCTTTGGGTTTGACATCATCATCGAGTCGTCAGCGCAAAAGCTCTATATAGTCGATATCAATTATTTTCCTGGTAATGAAATTAAACTCGCCCTAAACTTGTACTTTTTGAATTTGTTCTCTGACTTATATTATTATCTTAATAGGTTATGATAATGTCCCCGACTTTAATGTCGTATTTCTAAAAACTCTTCTTGACAAGTTGCAGACTAGGTCACAAGTTAATGGATTTGCCCAATCGTACGATATATAAAATACAATAACAATCATAGGCAAAGGGTGTTTATTTTAGCCAAAACGTTTTTCCTGCTCTGCAACGATATGACAAGACACCAAAATTTATATTTTGACTTTTGACTAACTTACCTCCTAATTTGATCTTTCAACTTCATCCTATTACGCTTATGTCTATGTCAGGATTTTCACGATTCTTTTCGTCAAAAAATAATGTCCTCTAATTAACAAGCCAATCGTTCTTAAAATCTCTCATGTATAATCCCACAGCAAGTAAATCATCCTTCCCACCAGCCTTTTGCAAATATTCTCTTAATACATCTCTATCAGCATGTGGTATTATATCGCATAACTTATTTAGTGCCTTTTCGTCAACTTCCACGAGCGTATCCAACGAGTGTGTGCTACCATTTGAAAATTTTTCCTCGCTTGCGCTACTCGAATTAGACCCGAAACTAAATCTTGACGTTACAGATTGCAAACTGAATCGTCTTTGTTTCTTGAGTGTGTTTGGTGTCGGTGGAGGTTTGGGCGAACTGGATAATGAGGCACTCGAAGAATTGGGTGACACCTGGTACATTACTGGAGCGTGTACATACGCCACTGATTTACTGCTAGCTTTGCTCAGACTCGTGCGACGACCTATGGATGATAGGAACGTAGGGGTTTTTGATCGCGTGGAAGATGTATGTCCCAACGACGTTTTGTGTCGAATAGAAGACGGCTGATCAAACGACATACGTGAAGACTTGGATGATCTGGAAGAACTGATGGAAGTCGACGGTGTTATGGAAGATTCACGATTGGTCAGCGGCGATTGCGGATTGGAGGTGTCTTGTACCGAAAGATCAGTAGTACTTCCTGATGTTATTGAAGTGTTGTCGTCTGTATTTGACTTGCCTCCCATCTTCTTGTAATCTATAACATAGATAATGTATTAAGTCTCTCTTTATTGAATCAAAAACCATTTGCAGTTTGATACCGTAAGCCAAAAAACTAAACTCACATTTAGGTGGTTGTGCTTGCGGCTGCTGCATAGTAATGCGAATCCATATAGTTAATCCTGTTTCTTCATTCTTTAACGCATTGAATTTGGCAACTAGGAATCGGTGAATTTCGACATTAATAAAATAATAAAAGGCTTCCGAATAAAGTTATATAAACGAATCAAAGAGATTATCTTACCGAATGCATTCTTTCTTTCAAACCTGCTCTTCAATTGCTTGACATCGCTTATGTCCAATGCAGATGGCAATTTTCTGATCCCCCTAAATTGCTCCATATTCGACTTTGTAGGAGAAGACGTTTCTATTGATCGAGTTTCGGATACTTGATCTCCATCGTATGTCTTTGCGTTAGATTCACCCGTGCTCGTTAGTAGCTTGGTTTCACTAAAGTTCTGGACGTTAGCAAACACAGAACCTGTATAATCCGAAGAACCTCCAAGTGATCTGTCTTTTCTTGCAGAATAATATAATGCTTTCAACTCATATATTTGATCCAGTAAGCTTTCGCTTCTTTTCGGAGTTAGTCCATCTACCCCTCCCTCAGAATTTTGTTTTATATCGTCTTCTGTCTTGGACTGTTGTTCTTCATCTTCTGGTTCTTCGACTATAATACTATTGCACAAATTATCGCTAGCAGAACTCTCGAATGCTGCATTGATAACGTCTCTTACAGAAGGAAATGATATATTGGCAGAAGAAAGTTCATCTTCCGAAAGTCCTTCCTCTTCACTATCTGATTCAAATACAATGGATTCAGGTATATAGCTCTGTTTCAGCGGTGATGAAATGCGGGCCGGATGTCTGAGAGAAAGCTGAACGTTTTCATTTAAGAAATGATATTGTGTAGAATTGGGTAAAGTATGTGCGGACAGGCCATTTGATAAATTGGGCGACATGACTTGCCTAGACTCGGTCTCTTCTTCATAGTTGGTTTCTTCATAACCTTTCTTTTCATAGTCTTCTTGACTATTAATACGATCAGTATTCTCTTCCTCATTCTCATCCTCATTCTCATCCTCATCCTCATCCTCATCCTCATCCTCATCCTCATCCTCATTCTCATCCCTATTTACATCCTCATTCCCATCCCCATTCTTATCATCCCTATTTTCATCATCACTATTACCGTCTTCATCTTCATTCCCATCTTCATGCTCATAATAACTCCTATATATATCCTCGTGTATGTCCCCGTAATCATTCCCTTTCTCGTCTTCGTGCAAATTTTTACGTTCATTATCAAATCCTTCTTCATTATTTACGTCCTCTTCCTCTTCTTCCTCATTTGATGTGGCTGACGAGTTGGGATCTTCTTCGAGACAGTGTTCGAAGCCGTGGGTTTCGGCTTCGACGGCAATGCCAGCTGAAACTTGATAATTGTTTTCAGAAAGACGTATCGATTCATCCAGGATTTGCGTTTGTGATAGAGCTGTTTTGGAGTAAATTGAATAAAAACGTTATTTCATATACAAGTAAACACTGTACTGAACGGTCGTAGATATACGACTCACTACAACGGTCAGCATGATCCACCTTGTGACACTAATGGTATCAAAAATGTTCATTAGCTTCTTTACTGACATTATAGATGTAAAGAATAAACCCTCAGTCAAAATAATAAATGTTTATAAAATAAAAATGATTCCTTCAAAATACCCCAGAAAGACAGATTCGAAACCCAAATTACTATACACGCATTCGTTTCTACTTACAGGAACTCTGGCCATCACCAAGGGCTTTCTTTAATTTCTTCAATTCAGCCAATATTTCCAAATCTTCCATCCCTAAGGTAGTCTTCTCCTGTTTACGGTCCATCATGTCTCATATGATATTAAATAAATAATCATGACAACGTTCGAAAAGCAAACAAGTTTCATAAGTGAGAGATTCGAATGGGTAAAGTGTATTTGTCTTACAAATTTTAAATGTCATGTGTTACTTTCCTAGAAAAGGTGGGTTGTGGTCCCATTGTTAAAGTACTGAAGTAACTGATCTTTGGTTTCACACAATTTACTGACATTCTCATGAATGAGAACATTCACACCGGGAAATTAACAGAATTGACTACTCTATATGTATAACATAGAAAGCAACACAATATAGCAGGAGACACCTTATTCATGGAGATGTTTCAGTGAATGTAACATTATGTAATAGTATTACGATTTTGAATAATATCTCGAACAAATAATACTTGTGAATATATAGTTATCAAGAATGTAGATTAATGTCATAGAAATCCGTTCACGCAAAAACAGCAGTATAGATCACAAAATGAACTTGTTGCGCGGTACATCAGTCAGCATGCCAGGCAAAGTGTTAAGATATCCAGGGTTTTGTGTTGGGGAGAGCGATGAGTTAGAAAAAGTTTATGGTCCCTGTTTAGATATATTTTGAAAAGAAAAGGCGGTTTAGTAAAGAATGGAGAAGTGGAACGCGTACGCCGTGACTTTACAAATATCGAAAGAAAATTTAAGTCATTGTAGGTAGAGTAATGGAATTATATGTTGAATGTCGTATCAACTGACGATAAGTGGTATTTCACAATGGTTACTTCTACAACGAAGATACAGCGAAAAGCAAGGAACCGACATCAGACTAAATCTTAACACGACCGAGGTTAATGAAGCTCAGCTTAAAAGTGAGACGCAAAAATTGTTTGCGATAATTCTTGATGATAAAATTAATCGAGCTAACTCGCAAGTTCAAGTGTTTTAATAATGATTGTTATACAACTTATCTCATAAAACCGAACCGGATGGATTGTAACACATCAATAGTAGGCATTACTAATTACTATTACTACTATTTCCTGCATGATCTCCGGAGA